CGGCGCCATGCCGTCTGCTTCGCTCTCTATGCCTTTCTTTTATTCTAATGGGCGGTGCCCTCGCCGAAATCACACTCTACCCGACGAATGACCAGGCAGCCTTTTCGACGGCCCCTGGGGCCAAATACACCGGCGTCGCCGCCTACAACCCACGTCGCTCAGCCCCCCGCCCGTCCAACTCCCACCATACTCACCACGATCCCGATAAACCTCCAGAATTCCGGGACGCCAGGAATGTCGATCAAGCAAAAGGGCTCTTTTATCGGGTTTTCCATCGAGATGTCCGTAACCAACCAAGTCTGTGCGTCGAGCCTCCATTCTATTATCCGTGCCCGAGCCTGAACGCTGAATCGACCTAGTGGGAAAGAACTCGACCCTTATCCAAGTGCCGTTCCTGAACTTGATGGCCAACATCCAGCAGCGTGCGGGTTCAGTGATGATCCGTGTGGGTGGCAACACACAGGAGTCCGCTAAGCTAGTCGCCGACGGTGTCATCCCCGACGGTCGGGTACTCACAAAGAATCTCACTGGCGTGACGGGCACAACACAAACACCTCCGCTCGAATTTTCACGCGATCTCCTCTACATGATGCGTAACATCTCCTCGTTCGTCAACGTCCACTGGTTCCTCGGCATTCCGTGGTTCGTAACCCAGCCGTTCGACACCTCCATTATTACTGCGGCGGACGAGATACTAGGCGACTATCTTCTCGGGCTGCAGGCCGGGAACGAGCCCGACATGTACTTCATTCATGGGCATCGAGCGGAGACATATTCCCCCTTCGACTACGGTGGAGAATTCTCGGATCTCCTCACGCAGGTTGCTGCCAATAACGCCGACCCGTCCGGAAAAGCGATGAGCAAGCTTATCGGTCCCAACATCGCCGACTTTTCATGGACGCCGGAACAGGTGTGGGACACCGGTTTCGTCGATAAGTTTACCGCCAATCTTGCGTTCTTGGCGGTGGAGAAGTGAGTCATGAGTGCTGCCCCAAGTTGGTGCGCTGACGGTGCTCAGATATCCCCGCGACAATTGTGCTGCCATGTTCGGAGGGCCGGACGCTGTTGTCACAGACCCGCAATCGATCCTCCCGTTGTACCTCACGCATGACGCGCATACGACCCTGCTTGCTCCGTATTTGAATAGTACCATGTACGCTCAGACCGTGAACAAGCCATTTTTGATGTTTGAAACTAACACGGTGCGTCTCGAAAAAGCCTTATCCTTCGAGTTTAATATTTAAACGCCTTCCCGAATATAGGGTTCTTGTGGCGGTTTCCTCGGCATCTCTGATTCGTTCACCGCAGCGCTGTGGGGGCTGGACTACGCGCTGCAGATGGCGCACTCCAATTTCTCCGGTGCCATGTTCCATTTGGGTGGACAGAACGTGTTCTACAACGTCAGCAACCCTCTCTTCTCCCTTCTCATCCGGTATTCATATGTCCTTGTTTTTCCCTTAGCCATTCACATGTTCGTTCATCTCCTTCCCTAGCTTTTTCCTGTATTCTAACCCTGCCCTCCAGCCCCTCCGACGAATCAATCGACCTTCCACCAGTGGTCCGTCGGCGCGCTGTACTACTCTGCGCTGGTCATGGCCGAGGCGATCGGCCCGTCCAATGAGACGCAGGTGTTCAACTACGGAGTCGACAGCCTCACATCGTTCACACCGATCTACAACATCTACGAGAACGGTACCCCCGTGCGCGTCGCGATCTTCAACTACGTCGACGACCCGAGCGGCGCGAACACCGTGCACGCGGTGATCTCCATGACAGGGGCGACGATGCCGTCCTCGGTGAAGGTCAAATATTTGGCGGCGACGACCGTCGTGCAGAAGGGCGGATACACCTGGGCTGGGCAGGTGCGTTTAGCCATCTTATCATCATTGTATATGTAGAGCTTCACTGACGCCGGTGGCCCGCACCCACAGACATTCGGCGGGAACTTCGAGTCTGACGGACGCCCGATGGGCACGGAGGACATCAAGACCGTCAACTGCGACACGACGACGCAGACCTGCACGATCGACGTCCCCGCGCCCGGCTTCGCGCTCGTGTTCCTCACGGACGACGCGTTCACGGAGGACAAGGGCATGCCGACGACGACGTTCCCCACGACCGTGCACACGAAGACGCGCAATACCGGTACGTGGTATCTCCTGCTTTGTGCTGCTGTGCTGATCAGAACTAATCCAGCGACGGTGGACCCCTCGGTCTTGGTGACGTCCAACGGGTACCGGATGTCCGAGCACGAACTTGCGGGCACGAGTAAGCCGCCCAGCGCGGCGCCGCGCACGGCGCAGGTCCCGCTCATCGTCGCCGGTGTGGTGATCGGCGCTGTCGTGGCACTGCTGGGACGCGCAATGTGATTCCGTCATCGGCTGTATGTATGTGGATGATACCCGGCTTTTGCGGAGCCTTACTCTAACTGACGCCCGGTCTCAAGTCGGGACGCTAGTTTGGTTCCGGACTACTTAATAGCGCAATAACTGTACCCTACGTTTATGAGACGCTCCCGAATTAGGAAATGTGATTTCCTAATTAGGAAGGGTGAGAAATTCTACTGACTCTTTCGGTTTGATCGCCAGTGGCCACGGGTATGCATTCCTTGCCGCCGTCCGCCCAATGTAGTGGAGAGCTTCGTTCATCGATCTCACCCTTGAGGCACATATTCTCCCTTGTCGTGGGGGGCGGTCATTTGCCGCATTCTTATTTGTTTGTCTCGCTGACAGAGATAATGCTGTCGGTCTGATGTCCAGCGCCGCTTGTCAGCGATATGTTTGGGGGATCTCGGAGCCTGTGGCTGGTTTTGCTCTCTCGGAAAACGGAGTTCTGGCCGCTCATACTATCATGGGTGGATCCCGCAACGGTCGGTCTTCCCAAAATATTTGATGCTCTCCATTTTTATCCGATCTGTCGCTAGAACACCATTCATCTTGTCTGTCCCGCCCACAACTCCAATTGGGAACAGGGAATTTCTCTGTGCGTGCTTGATTTCACGGATCCTGCTGCTTTTAGCACCTCGTTTCAACCGTGGCGCCACATTTAGCCATCATTTTTGAGTAGACAATAGCCTAATGCTGAAAAATTAGCTCGATTGGCGCTCAGATAGCGCTGAAATCCCTTCAGGGACTTCGGAAGCTGACGAGAAAGCGTGGCCCGGTGGATACGCCAAGTAGAAGTGTGAGGTTTCGGCTTCTTTCTTGGATGTGATCGCTGATTATTTCGCCAGATCGTCGGGAGGATCCCTCTTGTATTTCTATCCCATTACCCCCGCAGAGACGTCTGCTGAAACTGCTAGTGAAGCGATCACCACATCCAGGTATTATTAGGCTGAGGTAAAACTTCTTTCTTGTTTCCGTAACTTTTCAATGACAGATCAGGCCAAGCAAAACAGAACAGCAATTGATCAGCCAGTCGGGCGACAAGGTATCCCCAAAAGGCTCCAATAAATTTGGAACCTACAGCCCGAGTGAGTTCGTCATGTCAACTTGTTGGTCAAATATCTCATAGTCGCGCCGATTTGCCCCATTATCCAACGAAGAGTGGCATGCCATCGACGACATCGAGACCAGAACCTGGTTGTTTGATCGTACGGTACAATTAGCCCGTCGATTTCACTCGTTCCGCGCGTCTGATCCCCGAGACAACCCTTCGCGATGTTGGCGACGAAAAACGCTACTTGCAAGACCCATTTTTTGTGTGCACAAGTATCGTCGAACCAGCAATTTCTCCACTGTCGGCGGCGTCCCAATTTAAATATGTGTTTCGAGGTCATCTTACTCTCCCGCACGTCGTAACGGATTCAAGAAGCAGTCCGACGACGAAGGGAAGGCCCTGAACCAAGGTCGAATGTATCTTGTGTCGCTGGTGGCTTTTTATTCTGCCCTTCGAATAAACGACTATGCGTTCTTTTGTATCGTCATATCCGGGAAAATCGGCACCATCCTCATGGCGTGGAAATCGTCGAAACATGTCCGTGGCTCGCTTTTCATCCGCGTTCCTAAAGCTAACCTCCTCACAGAAGACCTATCTGATCCAGAGAAATCTTCTGAAGCTCGACCTTTTCGTCCCGTTACAGGCGTTTCACTTCGCAACCTTCCTTTTACGCCTTCGGGACGACCAGGAGAAATTGAAACAACTCGTTGAAGAAATGCTAAAGAAGGATTCAACAGCGAGCGGTTGATCAACTGGCATAGACATGCACAGGCAAAGAAACTCGAACTAGTCCAAACTTCCGCCGTGTGGTCCGATAAATAGATACCAAGTCAGCTAGGTTCTGTGAAGTGCGGTTTACTTGAAACCTTTCTCGCTCGAAATAAGCAAATGCAAATGTCTCGAGCACGCGAGCTGTGTACCTAGTCTCTCCGAGTCCCAAATAGACGCTTCAAGGAAAAGGCAACCGCGTACCTTGGCTTGTTGAACACATGCAAAGGCGGAGGGCTGTATATTCGTGCAGAAATCGGGCAGCGTTACATTTAATTGGGGCTGCGTGCTGCAACGCCATGAGGTGACCGACGAGTCATCATTATGATGAAAACTCGTTGAGCGTGTACGAACCCAGAACTAAATGCTCCGGATAGTACCAGTGCAATTATTGTGAATCTTGAAAGCTCCTCGGACAGAGTTCAAATTTTGAATATCTATTATGCAAGTATGGGAATGAACAGATGGCAGAATAGCGCGGAACGAGGTTGTCGTCCTGGGAACCCACCGAGTGTTCCTGATTAGCAATTACAAACTAATTAGTCCTCTACGCCAGGAATTTAGCTCCCTTGCGCTGGTGCCGATTCATGTGAATGAGACTTAAGGAGTAGGGATTAGGGCCGTAAGCCCGTATCATTAGACTCGTCACCAGTCTGCCATGGACGGCAGATCTTCGTGCAAGCACGTTGCCGTAGGCAGACTGGTTAACGTGCTTGCACGAAGATCTGCCGTCCATGGCAGACTGGTGACGAGTCTACCGTATCATAATGTCTTCATAGCCGACCAATCTCATTGGCCCAATGGTCTAGAAGTATGATACTCCCTTCGGGTTTCGCCCGGCTTGTATAAGCTGTCAATGGGAGTGGTCCCGGGTTCAATTCCCGGTTGAGCCCTCGTTTTGCTTTTTTGCCTTCTACGAAGGCACAGGATTAATCGTTTTGGGACGTCCGGCCAATGGAATAGTACAACTGATTTGGTTAGTTCCGAATCACTATGTTTTTAACAAATCTGAACAAGCCAAGTGCATTCATTGTTCATCGCTCGACCTGATCCTCTCAAATTTTTGGAGACCGCTGTGTTGGAATTTAAAGAGTTATAGTCGAAAAAGCGACTGTATGGTGAAGATACGTGGGTAAGCCATCAGTTTGCTTCCCCGCTGCCATGAGAGAGCCTGAGTCCGACGGCTACAGTCGGCGCCAAGAAAGGACGATTTTCTTTTCTGATGCTAGCGCAGCGCCGGATAAGTACAGGGTGAAAAGTCAACAATGTTGTTTGAGGTGCGATTTTTGAGCCCTTGAAATCTTTCTCGCCCTAAATAAGCCCATGCGCGGTGTGGCGGGGGTCTGATCTCTCTTTCCCCCAAGGCTTGTAGTCAAGTCGTAGTTGCGTTTGAGTTGCCAGTCGGTTGTACTGAATGGCTATACTGTAGGATTTTTGTGTCAAAAACATTACATTACCGTTACTCGAAAGAAAAGGGAATGTTAATGGTCAAAAGACATTGGGCCACGGATTGAATTCCTGGTGACTTGGGGACCAGGCAGCGGATTTCTAGTGGCTGTGTCTCCTAAACAGATACTTCAACAAAAGGTAACCTCGTACCTCGACTTTTTGAACAAATTTTGTGAATCTTGAAAGGTCGGGGCAAATGTCCCTTCGAGGGAATTCAAATTTTGAACCTTTGCATGAGGATGAACCGACGAATGTTGATAGCGCGGAACGGGGTTGTCGTTCAGGGAACCGGCAGGCCTCTACGCGAGGGATTATAGTAACTCCCTTGGGCGCAGGGGCCGATGTGAAGGACGGACCGAATTACAACGAGCAGCAGGAACGTGAGTGCAGACAATTTCAGATCAGTACTTTTAGGCGAAATAATATTCTATAATACTGCTGGAACGCGCCTGCGGATCAGCACATCGGGATAATTAAATTCCTTGCGTCGAGGAGTTCAAATTCAAACATACATAAGCTCCTGTCACCGCTGAACGGATTTAAAAGATCCGAGACGTCGAATACCATTGTTTTCCTCCAGTCGCCCGAGAACTCCGCCTCAGTGATACAGTCAGCGCTTCGGAAGCGTTGGAAAGCCGTGTTCGCGAAGGGCTGAAGTGTGTGCTGTGGGGAAAACCATCCTTGCGTTGATCACACCAGGCGCCATGAGAGAGCCTGAGATCCTACGGTTAGTACAGTGGGCGCCAAGCAAGGCCATTTCTTCCGGCGCTAACACAGCGCCGAGTAAGTAGGACAGGATGACGAGAAATGAAGGCGCCAACAACGCTACACCCGATCAGGGATCTAGACTTACTTCCCGATCAGGCGCCCGACTGAGAACGCACTACACGTTGCGTGCATTGAGGCGCGATGACGAGAAAATATCCCATCGCTTGCGGTCGAGGCAGATAGAAGCTGTGTGCCAGCTGTATGCAAAATGAATTCCGGCACCAAGTAAGTGGTGGTGGTGGGACTGACTTGCACAAAAATGGCCATGACAGAACGGGCCATTGATCCAAATCTACGGCCAAGTCACTGCTGAGATCGTTGTCAACGGAATCCACAGGGGTTACGCACAATTACAAGGCTAGTGTTGTTGCATTAATAATAGTATGTGCGGGACAATAGAATTAGCACGGATACGTATGGGCTATATGTACATACATTCGTCGCGCAGCGGCGGGATTAATATAATACACGTAGTAGGGTAGCGCATCCGAGTCGTGACTGGACACCCAGAAATACAGCGTGTAGAGGACGCCACTTGCACAGGCAAGGTGTGCCGAGAAACGGCCGGAGACCCAGGCACCGTCGTTAACGCGATACATTTAGTATCGATATCCCCATTTAGGCAGCGGCGGGCAGTGGGCGCGCCCACTGCGGACCCGGGGCCACTGCACTCATTTGAGCGAGCGCAGCTTCTGGATGACGTCCTGCATGTCGCGCTGGTTCCACTCGCCGCTCCAGCCCTGCCCGCGCTCCTTGCGCGAGACACCGGGGGAGAGGTACGTGACCGTTGGCTCCGGGTCGTCGTTCTCGAGCGGGTCGAGGTCCGCGAAGGGCGTCTCGGGGCGCGCGAGCTCCGCGAACGGCGTCGTAGGGCGCGTGTAGTCTGCGAACGGCGTCCCGGGGCGCGTGCGGGCGTGGAGCTGCTCCGAGTCCGAGTGCGTGTGCGTGGACATGGGCATGGGGACGATGCGCGGAAGGACCTCTGAGGAGGAGTAGACATGCGAGCGCCCGAGGCGGCCTGTGGGGCGCTCCCGCACGGGCGTCGCCTCGGCCTCGTCGTAGTCATAGTTGTCTTGCCCGTGCGTGGAGTCGGAGGAGTCGGGGCCGCGGATGTCGATGACGAGCCCGCTGTCGGGTGTCAAGGGCGGGGAGGGCGGCTGCGTCTGTGCGCGTGTAGGCGAGCGGATGCGGGGGAAGGAGAACATGATGGGGGACCCAAGGACGAGCGAGCCGCGCCGGGCAGAGTCTGGGTGTAGGCAGAGGCGGGAGAGGGCGAGGGTGAGTGGCGAGAGTGCTGGCTGTGCTCGCTCGAGGACGAGTGCGACTCCTGCGACGAGTCGCGCGAGTGGTTCGTCGAGTGGGAACCAGTACGGAACTTGGATGCGAATATAGATAGTGAGAGACTGGCCCTACGTGCCATTTTTTTGGGACGCCGTTCGGTCTGCATGTCTATTGGTCGCTGGCCTGGCTGTGGGCTGTCCGTCGACCTCCGTGGTGGCGGGCTTGGGAAAGCCTTAACATCGACAAGGGGCTGACGGGGCTGGAAGACTAGCTCCAGGGGCACAGATTCGCCCAGGATCCGGGTTGCCTTCTCTAATTGCCTTCTGCGCAACTCGGCTTCAGGCACCTCCATTGGTGTCTCAGGAGGGGAAGCGAAGTCGGACGCGGACGGAGTTACGATGATATTCAGCGATGGGGGGGCTCGTGGTGCACGCGTAAGCCAGCTGGACGTCAGAGTCGGAGGTGTCGGGAGTGCCCTCCTCGACCCAGAGGAGGAAGCTGAATCAATGGATGGCGAGGATGAAGAGTAATGTGAATAGAATGAGCCCGCAGGAGATGCGCTGCGAGATGGTAGGTCGTGAGGCCGCAGGCCATCGCCATAAAAGGAGCCTGCAGGTGATACGCTGCGAGAAGGAAAGTTGTCGGGCCTCAGCCCATCGGAGCGCGTCTTTGGCCTCTTGAGGAAGGATTTGGACATCATTGAATCGTACATGGGTGGTTTGGGTGCGTAAGAGGCAAGCATTAGCAGCGATTTTGAAGCAAGATGCAAGAGGGAGAGGACAAAGACAGAGACAAGACGTTAGGATGTCATGGCGCTTATGGCCAAATGTGTAGGGTCTTATTCCCGCAGAGGCGATTATTTCCGGATGGAGCAAATCCTGACACGAAATGGGAAATTGTGAAACGGGTACCAGACGTGATCGCCTTGATGGGAGACTACGCGAGTAGTAACGCGACAACGCCGAGACAGATCTAAAAGCTGGCTTGAAGCAGCTTGGAGTCGGCCGTAATTGCTGTAATAGCTTCCTCGCTAGTCCGTGTTCTAGGCCACAGTTTTTTCCCCAGGTGCTCACTTGCAATCCATTCGACGTGCCGCAGTTCCCTGGCTGGGGGACCTTTGCCTTTGCTATGTATGCTGCCAGTCAGTTGAATTTGTATCCGTCGGAGTTGAGTTCGATCTGGTTTCAGTCGCGGAGAGTCGCGGGCTGTTGGACATGGGAAAGTCAGGGAACAACATGGGAAAGCATCAAGTCGTCAACAAGAGCACACTGATCCAAATACTGTTCCTTTTTTCCTCCATTTTCCTCCTCCGCTCGTGCAAATCGCTCCTCCAAGTTCCAGGCATTCCAACAGGCACAACACGTTGTGGAGTACTTCGAAGCGAGCGAGCATCGTGATGCGCTCACAATGATTGAAAAAAAAACCTGAATGCGACTGATGCCAACAATCGCAAGTCACTGAGCTGTGGTGCTGCCGAAGTGGCTCAGAGGCTCAGTTACGACGAAAAATATCTGCAGTCGGCGGAGGCGTTCTCAAAATCCAGCATTTCTCTATCTCTTTCTTTCAGCAATTCCTCCTGTGTGCTCGTTCATCCAAGCTGGTCCTTAGGCAAGACCGAGGATTCCGCCTCGTTTTCCGACAGTGACTGTCATTATTGACAATGGACAGCCTCAACCTGCAGTCTAAGAATGCCGCCTGCTTATCTAGACTTATTAGACTTAACATACTTGTAGCCTGTCTCCGCCGTTCCCAGGCTGTTCCGGTCAATTTGTGACAACCGAAGTGAGTCGAATTTGGATCCGCTCTGCATCGCGCGCCCATGGCCAAACTTGATGCTTCCAATCCCAGGCCCATCCATGTTCAAATCGTTAACGTCTATGCCGGCCTGCATACCATTTCTTCTGTGACGCAAATATTCACGCACGGTTCTTGATCGTGGAGGCTTCCTCAACTCAACCAGAATCAAAACGTGTCCCTTTGTTTCCCTTGTCAGCTGCTGCAAGTCACGCAAATGGAGCCGCCGTCACTCGTCAGCCCTCACCGAACCGTCTCCAAACACATCGACTTGACCTCGCCATCCTGCCTCGGGTAGTCTCGTCCGTGTACATGGTATGCCAATGTCTGCGAATGAACAAAAGACGTCGTTTCATTGTGATTTTCGGCATTGGAGATCTAGCCGACGTTGTGAAGATCCCGCCATGGCGGGGAATCATTTTTATGGGGATCTTAAAGTTATCGTGGATCTCCGGGGAAGGATGTATGAACGCCGCTCAACCGCCTACTGAACCCTCTTTGCGGTACACGTTACACAAGTCGTATGCAAGACGAAGTATTAAGTAAGGAGTTCGACGTGCCCTCATGCCGCCGATTTACCCCGCGGGTATGCACAGTGGGT